GGGTGGTGTGCTAAGGACAGCATGAGGGAAACGTAGTCATTGAAATTCAGGTCCTTTGGAGGAGATTGATGGTTCCTGCCTATTTTCCCTCCAGTCTGTGCCCTGAGGGCTGCTCCAGTGAGGGGTGGGGGTGTTGCAGAAGGGAACTGAGAAAGTTCTTTTTTCCTCTTCAGAACCAGCAGCTGCAGGCAGCTATTGCTGAGGCTGAGGAGCGGGGTGAGATGGCGCTCAAGGATGCTCGGATAAAACTGGAAGAGCTGGAAAGTGCCCTGAGCAAAGACAAGGAGGAGCTGGCTCGCTTGCTGAAGGAGTACCAGGAGCTGCTGAACATCAAGATTGCGCTGGACGTTGAGATTGCCATGTACAGGAAACTGCTGGAGGGAGAGGAGAACAGGTAAACTCTTGACCTCTGATTTGAGAGGGATGTTATGAACTATGCTGGATGCCTTGAGTTTTGACATTAATGGTGTAATCTCAGACCAGCTCTTTTGGTTAAAATGGGTGGATATGGCAATTTGCGCTCTGGGTGGTCAGGATTGATAATTGGCATACCATGTTCACTACAGGTGGTATAACTATTTCATGTCTGTTATGTGCAAATTTTTTAATGAACCTCAAATCTGGAAGAACCTCATTGTAAAGAGGAATTGTCAATGACTTCCTGCCTTAAATATTTTAGTGATACCAAAGTTGCTGATAAGGATGAAGCAGGAAAATGTTTTGATAATGAAAATACAGTGCTGAGTTTTTACAATGCCTCTTTTGTTTGGTAATTAAAATTTACCAATTTCCCTTCGCAGGCTGTGCAACGATGGCATGTCCAACGTCAATGTCTGTAAGTATCTGCATCTGTTTCCTTGAGACGTAGTAGCAGACCACGTCTTTTTGAGACACAGCCTGCCAGTGGACAGCCTGTATGTAACCTGTGCTTCTCTTCCAGCCGTGGTAGGCAGGACCAGCATCTCTGGAGGCAGAGGAGGCATGGGAGGAGGCTTCGGAGGCGGCAGCGGCATGGGAGGAGGCTTCGGAGGCGGCAGCGGCATGGGAGGAGGAATGGGAGGCGGCAGCGGCATGGGCGGAGGAATGGGAGGAGGCCTCTGTGGAGTAGGAAGCAGCATCGGAGGTGGAAGCATGGGCGGCAGCTGTGGAATGGGAGGAGGGATGTACAGCGGTGGCTTCTCTTCTGGAAGTGGAAGGCTGTGCGGCTCTGGAGGTGGCAACTTCGGCTCTGGTGGGGGATCGTCCTCCATACGGAGATGCGTCACGACCACCTCCGTCAAATCTTCAGGAGTGAGATTCTGAGCCCCCAAGCCAGCTTGAAAAAGGAAAGAAGCAGCCCCTCTCTTCTCCCGGCAGCAGCCCAACCTCCTGAAATCCAGCTCCGGTGTCCTGCAATGAAACGAACTGTGTCCCTCACGGCCCACCACATGCCAGCACGTCTACCTGGCTCGGTCCCATCAGGGGAGTCTCGTGGCAATGCCGCATCCCGTTAGCAGCCCTGGCGAGCTGCTCGTTAGCCCCAAGCCCAGTGATGAAATAACCGTCCAAGCAAAGAAAAGTCTCACGTGTGGATGCCCAGCACGGAGAGCTGATTTACAGGAGGGAACTGCTCCGCCTTTCTTGCTGTGTTGTACATTTCTGGCTGCCTCGTGGCAAATGTGTATAAAACTCCTCTTTCTTCCTCTGTCCTCATGTCCCTTCCTCGATGGCCGTATCCCTGGGGTGCTTCTGCATGCAGTACATCCCGCTGCTTCCATTCACTAGCCTTTGGGGTGAGGGTAGGTGTGGGGCAAGCGGGACTCGTCCCGTGGCAGAGCTGGGGAGGGAGCATCTTCTCGGCACGTGGCCAGAGGGATTCACTGCCCCAGGTTGGAGCACCTGGGCAGCTTTGCTCACCTGGTAGCCCCAGGTGGGCCCTAAGCAGGAGCTCTCTCTGGAGCCATGACTTCCAGTTCCGCTTGTCCTTGCTCTCCGTGACACCTGGTAAGACCTCATACACACGTGGACTTTCTCAAAGGAGAACAAAGCTTGCTCTTCAGTGCCTGGTCCCCTGTGACATGGAACGAGATGTACTGTCTCCACCTCCCTTCCTCTTCTGTTTGTGGTATGCCCTACTTCCTTGGGATGTTGCCATTCTCAATAAATTGCAGAGAACATTCATGATGTCTTTGTGTCGTTGCTTTGGAAGCCACTTCTAGGCAAGGAGGTTTCTGCTGTTGGGGAAGCGACTTGCTGGGAAGGTGTGGGTTGTTCTGTTCAATGTGTCGTGACTGTGCTTTGAGGGAACTGAACGGGTGTGTGAACGGAGCTAGGCAAGTATCCAAGCATGGGTGATGCCTCTTGACTCGTATCAGTCATCGCAGTGCCTGAAAACACGAGCCATACCTAGAATGGTGGGGTCCTGGATGCTCAGTTCACACAATGTGCAGTAAATGTGAGCAGGCAGGAGCACTGGGAGCCTAGGATGGAGGAATTCAGGAGGCCACTAAATTTTTGGGCAGGTCCTGATATAGCCCCATCCTTGGAACCGCATATAGTCGTTTCCACAGCTGATGGCTTCATTTAGTGTGTCTGGAAACCTCTAGCGCAGAGGGGTTCAGAACCTTCTGAATCAATGAGGAGGCTACAGGCTCACCTGTGCCAATATTTAGGAGTCAGCCTTTATGCAAACTGAGGCACTCAGTGCCCCGTTGCTCGTGTCACATCTTACTGGAGTGGTCTGGTAACATGCGAATTGCTGCGGCTCTAGGAAGGGGGCTTTCTCTATCTCTCTCTTGGATTTCAGTTTTTTAGAGCAGGAAGAACCTGTGTACAGGGCATGCTGAATCACTACCAAAAAGTTATGGGATTTATGCAGGAACGCTGACAGTGCATAGTGGCGAAACCAGTAGAGACCCAAACACGTTGATTGATGATGGAAATCGGCAGCAGCAGGGTGGGAGCAGACATCAGATCAGTCTGCTGTTGTCGGTTCATCTGAGTTTCCTGCCTTGGAGTGGACTTTGGTTTGTGGTAGGGGAAGGTGGCAATGGTAGGAGTCTTGTGGGCAGCGGTGGGAGGGCGGGTTTCCAGCTGCCTGGAAGCATGGGTATGGACGTTGGCCAAGCACCTACCCCCTGGTGTAGAAGTAGGATGTGGCCAGGCAGGCTGCACAGCTCGGCACCCTACGAGCACCAGGAGTGCTTGAGAACCACTAGCTCACCCTCCCCTTCCTTCACCAGAAGCGGGAACATAAAGGCCTGGGAAGGCGTGATTCATCCCAAACCCGTGGGCTCAGGTACCCATCAGCTCCCTGAAAAGTCGATTCATTCCCCCAGTGTCTCTTCTTTACGTGGAGAGCGAGAGGGAGAGAGTTGGTCTAGCTCCAGGAGGGGGGACTGGGAGAAGAATGCTGGCGTGTTTGATCTGTGCCGTGCTTCAGTTCCTCCACCACAAGAAGAGATCAAAGAGACAGAAACCACTTTCAGCAGTGGTTCAGGAGTCCCACAACAACCTGCTGTGAGCTGCCAGTGTCCCCGTAGCAGGTCAGGAAGCTGCAGACCTCAGAATAGGTCCAGGCGAGGCAGTGGGGAATGGTTACAGGGCTCCTGGAAGAGGGACGTTGACTTGCTTTAGAGCCCCGCAGAAGTGTGCTAGAGCTGGGGAACGTGACTGGGTTTGGCCCAAACAGAAGACGATGAGAAGGCAATGCCTCTGAGAAGCTGGGGCTGTGCCAAGAGCACTTTTGGGTTTGGCTTGGGGCAAGAGTCACCTGTTTTCATTCTTACTTTTAAGACTGTGTTTCTCCTCTGCTTTAAAATCTGAAACACGGCTTTGTAGGCATTGTTGTGAGAAGTCATTGCGACATCCTCCGCTATGCTCCCTCTTGAGTTTCATGCCAGAATCTCTTTGCTGCGTGAGATCCGAAGCTGCAGCCTGGCTTGGTCTCCATCTATATTTTTCTGCAGAGTTTACATTTTGCCTGGTGTTGATGATTTTGCTGCGTACAACCCTTTGTGTAAGAGATCTGAAGGAACGGCTGGAGCCTAGGCTTGATATTGAGTCTTACCTGGAGAAGGCTGAAGTGACTCCAGGTTTGGTATAATCTTCGCATCTTGTCTGAAGACGTCAGGGTGACTCAATCTGGGCGTCTTATCTGTATGTGCTGAATGTGGTCAGCATCCAGGCATTTGGCTGACTTAACAGATCTTCTCCCTTGTCGTGGAGCCGCCATGTGGGATGTTACAACCAAGTCATGCTGCTTACTGAGAAAGGCAGCTACCATGCATTTGGCAATCTGGAGAGAGGCCACGAGAAGAGATGACCTGCTTTCTCTAACCCAAAATGGAGTTACCCTACAGCTTCCCGGGACTGCTCACCATGAGCGAGTGCACTGGGCTGTAGAATGAAGTGGAGAACTTAACCCTCTGTCTTGGGGATGACAGCTGAGGAATAAGACCCTCTTCATTCAAGCTGCTTTTGAAAGGGCAGGTGTCCCCTCCCTGCTGTAGGGATGGCTGCTCATTCTCCAGCTGCAGCCTGTTGCATAGGGCAGGCCACACACATCTGGACTACCCTTGGCCAACCATGACTTGAGTCCCCCTCAAGGCTAGGATAACCCTTGGCCAACCGTGAATTGTGTCCTTCAAGGGTAGGATAACCCTTGGCCAACCATGACCTGAGTCCCCCTCAAGGGTAAGGATCTCCACTGCCCTACGCCCCATTCTGTGAAGAGTCTGTGGTGTCCAGCAGCCTCTGTCTCAGTGGCAGTCAATGGCATTTATGTTTCTGATTGCTCTGGTGGCTTTTGAAAGTGATTCTCTGGGCTGGTTGTGTCTGTGGCTGAAGGCTGTTACCTAGTGATACTTTCAAACAACATTTAGTTGCACAAGTGTTGTGGGTGATTCTGAAAATTCAAACATACATGTATAGTACAGTTTGTAAGCTTAAATATAGTATAATATTGGATTGCTGAAATGCTTAGAAGGTTTCAAATATATTTTCCTTGGCTTTTATTGATGATTTTCTGGAACTAAGCACTAGGAAAATACTGGTTTTTTTTTTTCTTAGATTTCACATGTGTAACTAAAATATATATTTGACTAATGAGATCCAGAAGATATCTACAAGATGTCTTTCAGCTGAACTTCCTACTTCATAGCCAGATAGCTTGTCCATGAAATTAATCATTATTGTTTTCTAGTTTGAAACAGCAGCTGCTGTCTTAAAAACACATTATTCTAACATGAATTTGGTCGGCACCCCTTCTCTCCCCCACCCCAAATTTACTGTGGTCAAAGGTGTGGGCAAAGTTGCCATACCTCTTAAAGCACTCTTCATATACAGCAATACTTTAACTGTTATTACTTAAGAAAGCATCAGATCTTCTTCCACCTTTTAGTTGTCCCTTATTTCAGAACGATCAAGTATGATGAACTCAGCCTGATCATTTTCCTACCAACTTAAATAAAAAAACCCCAACCATTTTAACAAGTCACTGTTATCCCTATTTGCATTTCTCTGCTATTTGTCTGTCTTCAGTCATCATTACCGCATCTAGTGCCTGAAGCGTCCTTTCAGTCCTCTGCAGGTTCGGCAATCCCTGTGGCCACCTGAAAAGCACAAGGAAGGAGCTTGGACATCGTTGTTCTCTTGCTCATTCCACTCTGGTGCTCAGAGTCTTGGTACGAGGTTATCTCAGACTCTGGGAGACACATTTTGCAGGAATGTGCACTAGAAGAAGGCACTCCCATCCCAATTGATGCTCTTAGGAAAGGAACTAAGCACCTCCTTTCCCGATAAAAAAAAATGCTGACCGTTGTTAAACGTTAATGTGTGGTGTTTTTGCTCCATACTGTGAAACTGTCTCTTGGAAAGCCATCAGCAATTTTCCGCTTCAGAAGGAAATTTGGGGTGTGCTCGGGGGAATTGTGAAAGTCTCATTCTAGTTGGTTTTCACCAAAATGCTTTCCTGACATTGAGTGTCAGTGCAAAAGATCTAGATCCAGACAAACAGCAAAATCATTAAGAACAGATAGAAAGGTGGGAGGAGGGAAGAACATGACTACATCACTGTAAAACATATTTTTCCAGATGCCATAAAGATATGAAAGTCCACTTACTCATTGAGACCTGTTTCCATGCTCTTGCTCTTTTATTCTCTTCTGCATTGCAAAGCGTATTTCTGGGTGGAGTCAACAATTTGGCAAAAATCTGTTAACCGCACCAAGCTGATGAAGACAGTAAATTTGTTTCCTCTTCACGCCCTTGTAGACCCAGCCCACCTCCAGAAACAGATAAAAGGGAATGCCTAAAGCCGTGGAACCAGAGAAGACTGTGCACACTTCTCTCTGCATTCATCCCTCAGCAGCACAGCTCCGTTGGTCTTTTTGCTCTCCTCGTCTCTGCTTGGAAGGAACAGCCATGTCTCGGCAGTCAATCTGTAGAAGCTTTGGAGTCGGAAGCAAAAGGGGATACAGCTCTTGTTCTGCCATCGGTGGTGGCTTTGGAGGAAGTGGGGGCAGAACCAGGATCAGCTATAGCTCGTTCTCCACATCCAGGGGAATTGGAGGCAGCGGACGTTGTGGAGGTTTTAGCAGCAGGAGCCTCCATAACATGGGTGGCAGCGGAAGAATTTCCATGGGTGGCTCTTATGGCAGTGGATATGGATGTAGAATTGGTGGCTTTGGTGGAGGCTATGGAGGAGGATTTGGCAGCATTGGAGGAGGTGTCATTGGTGGAGGAATAGGCAGCTTTGGTGGTCCTGTGAGAGGTGGTCCTGGGTTCCCTGGAGGCATCCAACCGGTCCAGGTTGACCCAACCCTCCTGCGGCCGGTCCATGTTGATATTGATCCTCAGATCCAACAAGTGAAGTGCCAGGAGAAGGAACAGATCAAGACTCTTAACAATCAGTTTGCCTCTTTCATTGACAAGGTGAGAGGCTGCAACTGTATTTGCTTGGGAATGGGGACTCTGAGGAACTTTTCTGTGCTGTGGAGAGGGAAATATTGTCCTTCTTAGCTCAGTGTTCCCAGGTCTGGAAGGCTGGTAGTGTTTCCATGGAGTCTCCTAAGGAAATGTAAAAATTTTCCATCTGCAGAGAAACCAAAGGAATTTCTCTAGGTTTAGTTGATCCAAATTATTCCTTAGGTTTTGCCTCTAGTGTTCTCTGTGCAGTCAGGCCAAACTGATCATGATATAGTCAGTTATCTTAAGCGGTTCTTTAAGTCTGTCCTTTTTCAAGGATAATTTCTTCTCAAGGAACTTAGACTGTAGGAATGAGCTTTCAATTAATTCCTGACTATTCCTTATTTCAGATCAAGTACAGATGAGTATTCTTTAGACTGTCTGCACTGGGAGAACATTGGTTATGAATGTGATTCGTAGTTTTTTAAATATATGGCATATATGCCATAAATATATAGCAGATACTTATTGTATCTGGTAAGAGGAATGTTCTCTGATACTGAGACATATGGGATTTCATTTACTGTAAGGTAGAAAATGATCTGATGCTTCTGCAAATTAATGTGGGTCAAAATTTGCAATTGGAAATGACAATATACTGCAAATCTGGAGTGTAATAATTCCAATACATAAAAAATGTAGGAGGAGAAAAGAGGAGAAATTCAAGGATAATTGAAAAAAGAGGAGAAAGAAGGGATGAATCCCTCTCTTGGAAAACTGGCTTTCAACTAGCCACAGTCCTGTTGGAGATTTGGGAAATGATTCCGTTGGCCTCCCAAATAAGCAGGAGGTTTGAGTAGTGTGATGTCTCCCTGGGTGAGTATCTCACACACCTCTTTGTGGGCTTTCAGGTCCGCTTCCTGGAGCAACAGAACAAGGTCCTCTCCACCAAGTGGGAGCTCCTCCAACAGCAAGGGCCTTCAGGGCCAAGGAAGAACCTCGATGTCATCTTTGAAAATTACATCCAGAACCTGAGGAGGAGGTTGGAGTCTCTCCTGGGACAGAGGGGACAGCTGGAGTCGGAGCTGCAGAACATGCGGCAATACGTGGAGGAGTACAAAACCAAGTAAGTGCAGTGGCAGACTAAGGAAGAAATGAGCACCAGGACAGGAGAGCTAAGGCAGCTTGGAGATTCCCACACTGTCTTCCCTTTGCTGTGGAGCTCTGTAGAAGTGGGGCCGAGGTTGCCATGGAGGGAAGGGGGGTTCCACCGGTTGACTGATGAAGAGTCCAAGAGACTCGTCTTGTCCCCTTCAACAGGTACGAAGAAGAAATCAACAGGCGCACCGCTGCTGAGAACGAGTTTGTGGTGCTCAAGAAGGTGAGTCACAGAGGGACCAGGAGAGAGGGGGTTTTGTGGAGACAGGCTGCAAAGACGTTGGAAGGCGGCAGCACCAAGACGGGCAGCTTCCAACAGGAGGCACTGGTTGCCAACAACTCTTCTGGGATGGGACAAAGTTGTTGTCTATCTGTGTGATCTTTCCTTTAGGATGTGGACTGTGCCTACATGACTAAAGTAGAGCTGGAAGCCAAGGTGGGAGCTCTGACTGATGAAATCAACTTCTTGAGGTGTATGTACGAGGAGGTAAGAGCTCTCCCTTCCCCTGGGCTGGCTGGCGTTGCAATGAGGTGTGTGGTGGCCAAAGACACTGAGGTTGGACATGGAGGTCCCAGGTGGATTTGGTCTGGAGTGGCTGCCTGGACTTGCTGCTCTTTTCTGCCCTTCTCGGATGGTCAGGCTAACTCATGCCTTGGTTGTAGGAACTGGCTCAGATGCAGACAATCAGCCGGGACCTGTCTGTGGTGGTGTCCATGGACAATAATCGGCACCTGGATCTGGACAGTATCATTGAGGAGGTCAGGCGTCAGTACGAGCAGATTGCTCAGAACAGCAGAGCTGAAGCTGAGGCTTGGTACCAGAGCCGGGTGAGTTGGGAAGCAGTCAAAGCACATGAGACAGTCTCTGCTGCGTAATGCCTTCCTTGGCACAGAACAAGGGAACCGCCTGAGTTCTGGATAGGTTGTGTCACTGATGGGTGCTTTTGTCTCCATGCCATCAGTATGAAGAGCTGCAGAACACTGCTGGAAGACATGGGGACAGCCTGCGCAACACCAAGATAGAGATCCAAGAGTTGACCAGGAACGTCCAGAGGCTGCGGGCTGAGATTGAGAACGTGAAGAAGCAGGTAGGGGTTGTTCAGCATCTTGTTGGGTAATGGCATCAGGCTGGGTCATGACTGAGCTGGGTGGTGTGCTAAGGACAGCATGAGGGAAACGTAGTCATTGAAATTCAGGTCCTTTGGAGGAGATTGATGGTTCCTGCCTATTTTCCCTCCAGTCTGTGCCCTGAGGGCTGCTCCAGTGAGGGGTGGGGGTGTTGCAGAAGGGAACTGAGAAAGTTCTTTTTTCCTCTTCAGAACCATCAGCTGCAGTCAGCCATTGCTGAGGCCGAGGAGCGGGGTGAGATGGCCCTCAAGGATGCTCGGAGGAAACTGGAAGAGCTGGAATGTGCCCTGAGCAAAGACAAGGAGGAGCTGGCTCGCTTGCTGAAGGAGTACCAGGAGCTGCTGAACATCAAGATTGCGCTGGACGTTGAGATTGCCATGTACAGGAAACTGCTGGAGGGAGAGGAGAACAGGTGAGACCTGCTGTCAGGTTGGTCTGGCCAAAGTAATGTCTCTCCTTGGGACAGGTGGAGGTTTAATCATCTCTCACAACCTATTTAATGTTGATATCTGATTTACTTTCATTTTTTCCCCAAGTTTTTAAGCCCAAAATAGAAATTAGGTCCCCACAGGGAATATTTCTCAGTGGTTTTGACTGATGTTAAATGAAACAGGAAATAAAAGCAGTTGTTAGGAAATTGCACGGAGCTTAATTGCTTTCTATTATATTAGATTTACAGCTTGTGTTCCTTTCCCTACACAGGCTCTGTGCAGATAACTTGTCCAACGTAAATGTCTGTAAGTATCTGTACATCATTTTCTCTGCAGAATGGCTTTTACCCTGGGTTTCATGAGGATTCCCAGGCTGTCACTTGATGTACAGTGAGACTGTCCTTCTCTTGCAGCTGTGGTAGGCAGAACCACCATTGCTGGAGGCAGAGCTGGTGGCTTTGGAGCCAGCAGTGGCATGGGAGGGGGAGTATGTGCGGTCGGAGGAGGAAGCATCATTGGAGGCAGCTGTGGAATGGGAGGAGGAATACTCAGCGGTGGCTTCTCTTCTGGAAGTGGAAGAATGTGCAGCTCTGGAGGTGGCAACTTCATCTCAGGGGGTGGATCCTCCTCTGTGCGGAGATGTGTCACAACCACAACGGTTAAATCTTCGGGTGTAAAATACTGAGTCATGACCTCAGTCCCTCCAAGGAAAGAAGCATATTTTCCTTTCTCCAGCCAGCAGCACAGCCCCTTCCATCCTGAACCGGTATTCAGCAAAGAAATGAACTGTTTCCCTTATAGCTCAAAACCTCCTTAAATCATCCTGCCTAAGGGGAGATTTGCAGCAAAACACCATCCTGTTCGCAGAGCCCAGCTCCTCTCTGAGCTCCACCAGCCTCCAGGGATGAAAGATCTTCCTTGAGGGTACCAGGGACTGCAGAGCTCGTCTGAGCATCTTTTGCTGCGCTTCTTGCTGCTACCCCTGGCTGCTGCACTGGCTGAGGAGGAGCGTGTATAAAACTGCTCTTTCCTTTCACTTTTTAAGGTCTCTTTTTCAATGGCCGTGTTTCCTTTGCGACTTCCGCGCGTCCTGCATGTTACCCACATGCTTGTTTCAGCTATATCAGGAATTCACGTAAGCAGAAGAAACATGATAATGTCTCATAGTCAGATTCAGGAGTGAGAAACAGGTCTTTGGAGATGTCCACCTTCCCTTGGTGGAGTAATTTGGCAGCTTTAATATTTTATAGATCACTTTCCCTCTTCTCCTTCACACCTGACATATGTATGGCCTTATTGCAAACCTTCTGTTGCGTGAACCCTACTGCATGGTTGCTTTCTACCAGCACCTCTTTCCTCCAAGTTCTTTCATTACCAATAAACTGCAGAGAGATGAAAAGATATCCTTGTGTTGTCTTATCAATTAATGGTCCCCAGGGGAGGGAAAATACACTTTGTTCTTCACCATAAGGAATGGCAATGCCTACCGTGCTCTGTCCTACGGTGCAAATCACTGAATGCCATGAACTGCCCAGCTGAGGTGAGGAGGAGGAAGATGGCCCTTCCCTCTCCTCTTAGGAGGTGTTGTCTTGTTCCTCCATAGTAGACTCCCCATCTCTCTGCTGGGTGGGAGGCTGTGAGGAGTGTGGCACAAGAAGGGAACATGCAATGTCAACCTGGTGACCATGAGGTGGGGCGATTGCGCTTGTCCCAAGCGTAGCAGGATGAAGTGTCCAGCCCTTAGTTGATTGGCACCTCAGCAGGTTGGGCCACCAGCAGGGACATTGTGGTTGGGACGTAGCAATGAATGGCAGCAGTTGGTACATGGTGGTCTGAACAGGGCAGTTGGACTGGGGTGGTTTGAATATGGCCATTGGGATGTGGTGGTTTGAACGGGGCTGTTGGGATGTGGCGGTTGGGCTGGGGTGGTTTGAACATGGCCGTTGGGCTGGGGTGGTTTGAGCATGGCCATTGGGATGTGACAGATGGACTAGGATAGGTTTGAACAGGGCTGTTGGGTTGTGGCAGTTGGACTGGGGTGGTTTGAACATGGCTGTTGGGATGTGGCGGTTTGAACATGGCTGTTGGGATATGACAGATGGACTAGGATTGGTTTGAACATGGCTGTTGGGATGTGGCCTTTTGATGGTGACAGTTTGAAAACAGCCACTGGTATGTGGCAGTTGGATGGTGGCAGTTTGAATGTGGCTGTTGGGATGTGGCAGTTGGACTGGGGTGGTTTGACCACTGCTGTTGGGATGTGGCAGTTTGAACGCAGCCATTGGGATGCGGCAGCTAGCACCAGTCCTCCACACAGCTGTCATCCCAAGAGGACATGCGGCCAACCCATCCCCACCACGCAGTGGCTCAGTCCTGATGGTGCCTGGAGTTTCCACCCAGGAGCCCTGGAGGCCTCGATGGGGGACGACACCCTTGACAGGCCTGCAGCGGGCGGTTAATGCCCCAATGAAGAGTGGTTTTCCTCCACCCTTGGCTGGCACAAGGGCAAGCAGCACCATCTATCTGACGAGCAGGGCTCTTACATGGGCACTGGCACCTCATACGTGAGTGGTGGGAAGGCCTGAAGACGCTACGTGGACAGAAATTACTCATGAAAAAAAAGCAGCGTGAAAGTATGAGACACAGCCTCAAACCTGCTATTATAACTCTAGATTGCCCAGCCAGGTTAGTCATTAGCCCTCTCTAAATAACATCCCATTGCAACCAAATTAATTTGATTAATGCTTGGCTGGATTCTTCTCCAGCATTGGGAGGAGCAAGAGCCAGAGCGGTAGGTGAATCAACCCTGGTTGTACTGTAGTGCGTGCATTACCCTGGTGCAGTCTCAGTGTTTGTCAGATAAAAGTACGGAAATGGAGAAGATCCATATTGCAGAGTCCTTGCCACCTAAATGAACAAAACAAATGAGAAAGAAATGATAGTTCTTATTTGAACTAGTGTTACTTTCATGCCGCTTTTCTTATTTCCCCAAAACGTTCTTTCAGTTGACACACTTGACTTCTTAATCTGATGTTTATACGAGGTTATAATATGCTTTATTCTCTTGTTTGAATAAACAATGACACTTTTGATTCTAAAATTTATAGGCTGGGGATGGGAGAGACCAAGAAGTCATCTCCTACTTCCTCATCCCAGCGAAGAGTCCAAGGACAGGTACAGACTGAGATGGCGCAAAGCCCTAGAGCGGTCCTGGGGACTTCCTTGGGAGGATGGCAGAGAGGGTGAAGATCTCCAGTGTCTTGAAATCCAAGAAGCCAAAGATGCAGGCTTCATCCTGCAGAAAACCACAGGCTTTTTATAAGTTCCCTGAGTTTTTCCTGGAGAGGGGCCAGGCTATAACACAGAGGTTGCAGAGTTTATCTCTCCCATCTGCTGTGCTCATGAAAAATGGAGTAATGCTAATTGCTCAAGTGCATCATGCTTGAATGAAAGATCATAACAGCCTTGTGGCGGGGCTCCCCTTCATCTGCTCCATGGGGCATTCTGATAGCTGCTAGCTCTAGTGTAAAAGTAGATCCATATTTGCAGCAAAGGGACCTGTTTTGCTTAAAATGAGTGGATTTACTTGTGAAACAGCTTCAGTGTGATCAAGCAATGATACGACTTCAATATTATTTGGTAGAGCTGTTGCCATTTTGGATACACAGGATAAAAAATACAGAATAAATATATTTCTTGTTGGTTTGTAAGTTCTGGTTTTCTACAGCAAAGGGCATGTGCCATCTGTGCTAATACAAAGTCTGCTCCCAGGAGTCTCCTGCAGGCTCTGCTTAGGTGTTTACAAGAACCCGCCTCCATTTTCAGATCATTTCTGGCTTGCAAAGATTGGAGTTCAAAGTGAGGTGGCAAATGTCTTACTCCTAGCAATTATCACTGAGTCTCTATCACTCAGTCCGAGTAACCTGGGGTTGTGAGATACAGTCTGGGATTGCTGGCCTGTCCAGTCACCAACTGGTTTAGTGCAAGACCATTGGTGGCTAGATGCCCTACGGCTCTGAGGACAGTTAGGTCCCAGCTGGTGGGACCCAGAGCACTCTTCCTTCCACCGAGTACTGTTGAGGTGGAACAGAAAGGAGATCTCACCCCCAACAAAGCCAAAAGCGAACTGGATGAAGTCTACAGAGCCCTCAGTGGAGCCAAAGAGGAGCTTGGCCAGGCACTGAAGGAATATCAGGACTCATTAAGTGTGAAGGTAGCCCTGGACATTGAGATTGCCATGTGCAGGAAGCTGCTGGAAGGAGAGGAGAGCAGGTAGATGTCTATCGTATAGCCTGGTTCAGGGCATGAGTGGTGCAATATTCTTTGCATTAGAACATGGAAAGAAATATAATAGGTGCAATATTTTATGAGCTTATTGGGGAATGAATCCAGGTGGCATTATATTGGCTGTAATTAGAGCTGTAATGAGTTTTTAATTGTTAGTAATCATGTTTATTATGGGAGGGCCTCAGAAGCTACCAAGATTGCTTCCCTTGGGTTGGTGACTGTGCAAATACGGAGGAGACTCACCCACTTTGTAGTTATATTGGATATGACAGTGAACAGCTGGTAAGCAGGAAACATTTGCTTTTATGAGTGGCACAGCTTTGTTGAAAGGATGGGAACATTGTCTCCTCAGAGGTGATCTGCCTCTGCATCTTTCATACTGTTATTTACATGGCACGTATCTCCTGAGCAGCTGGAGCCCTTCATGATCCTCAAGGATGAGAAATTCAGAGCAATGGAGCTGAGGTGCAGAGAGGTTATAGGAGATTAAATGTGGAAATCAGCATCCTTTGGTCCCTCATCTACACTTCAAACACCACCAGCAACACCCTCAGCTTCCTTGCCTCCAACTCGACTTGTTTAAGTTCAAAGCTAGCTGAAATACTCACTAGAAAACCTGCTGACCTTCTCAAGAGAGGCTGAAATCATACCATGAGAGCAGCAACAGCCACCAAGTATCCGGGTTTGTAAGGAGTTTTAAAACCCAACGGTTAAAGACCTGAAAGCTGCTGCAAGCAAACACATTGACAAACATACCTAAAGCTATGTAGCTACTGAAGAAATTTAGCTAAGGAGCAAAGCGGAGCTCTTCCATTTTCTTTTGCAAGCTGTGCTCCTGTTCTTTTCTTCTAGATGCTAAAACACCTCCTTTCTTGCCTCTTCGGATCCTGGCTGCTCCTGTCTTGGATTCAGCAGGAGTGAAACTGGTTCTGTTGTCAGTCTCCAGGGATGTCTTGTGGCAGCAGGGTGAGTCTTGCTGACTGGCTTACTGGGATCCAAAGAAGTCCGTGTCCTAGAGCATCATCTAGGGCTTTACAGGAGAATTTGGACCCTTCATCTAAGTTAATATTCACCTCAACTTTGATTGTAGAGATTGTGACAACAGTCAAGCGCCTTTCATCCCAGCCTTTTCTTCCTGTTTGATGTCAGCTCTGTTCCTCTGTGAGAGTGCTCAATGAACTGCAAGCAAATCACACGCTGCTCCCGTGTTACGTGTCTCTGAACAAAATATCTGCTCCCACGCAGTCAGGTGACCCAGATGAGTGCTGCCAGTGGATGCGGTGTACCTCCCGCTCCCTCCTGGCCCCATTTCATCCAGGGCTCTCTCAGCTAAAGGTGGGACGGGTAGAGCAGGATTTGCAGAACTTACAGCAACCATATTGTCTGTGTCTGGTGCTG